AAAAAAACATGAAAAAAGTTTTAAGAGGTAAAAAAAGAAGCTTCAAGAGGTAAAGTGGTACTTTATCTTGAGATAAAGTACCACTTAGCTTCCGCTAAACTTTATAATAACGAAAGTGCTCAACAATAAATTAGCCCTTTACTAAACAAATAACGCCGACAAATTTCATCAAAATTGAGTAAAGGATATTCAAGATATATTTAAGATAGAAAAATTTTTTTAACACCCTCTGTATCTTGAAAACTAAGCACATTTCCTAAGTTAGGAATCTTAGGAATCCTAACCCATGTTTACATTGATTTTTCATCTTAAAATCATCTAAAGAATTAGCCTGATGAAGTTTGAACATATACTTAATTCACCCTGTAGAGTAGTTATAATTAACTCCCGAATTTACTTTTCTTGCTATAGCTTTTTTATAAAAGAGGTTACGATTTGATCAAAAATAGAAAAAAAAAATTTTAACAATAAAAATACGTAAAAAGTATACTTTCTATAGCAAAAATTGTATGACACCGCGAGTGCGCGCCCTCCTCTACTGTAGGTCTTAGGTAAAAATTAACATCAAAAATGGAAAAATTAACATGTATTTATAAAATTTATACATAATTTTTTGGTACCAACTCTAAATATGTATGATAAACAACTGAGGCGTGATCCAAAAAAACCCTGACAGGGTTTTGTTGTAGAAGCTATTAAATTTAATTTGCTTTTGGTTTCAAACCATTCCCTTTTGCACTGTGTTATTATAATACAATACTTTATAGCTATATAAGCGAGAATAAAATTATTTTTAAAAATTCGAAAAACGTTATAATACCGCCCTGTTCCCAAAATATTTCAAAAAACCGAAACATGGTGAAAAAAACTGTGTCTTGTTTATAGTAATAAGAGAGCCTATATTGCTAAATGGCAACTTTTTTGCTACCTCGCGACTTTTTAGCGACTCTAATAAAACATATTTGTTGCCATTGATACATTTAAACACCACACGCCACTTTTATACAATCATTGCGGTGCAAATAAGAGTGCCTATATTGCTAACTGGCAACTTTTTTGCGAACTCGGGACTTTTTGGCGACTCTAATAAAACAATAAAATGTTATTAGTACTGACACTTTTTGGCAACTCTAATAAAACATATTTGTTGCCATTCATACATTTTAATACCACAGGCGATTTTTATACGGTCATTGCCGAGCAAATAAAAGTGCCTATATTGCTAACTGGCAACTTTTTTGCTAACTCGCGACTTTTTGGCGACTCTAATAAAACAGTAAAATGTTACTAGTACTGACACTTGTGAGGTCTGAAGCTCTGTTGTTAAAATTGGTAGATTGCTGCTTTATGTTTAAATGATCCGTTTTATCATTGTCGAAACTGGAATCCTTATTATCACTACTGATAATTTTTTCTTAACATCTTTTTAATCTTCTGCGGAAGGCGCCACTTTTTTTTATTTTTTTTTTACTGCGATAATTGCGACATTTTTATTTATGAAACATTGAACACACTGAACTAATGAAAATTATGTACTCCACATCAGCTAATTCAACATAAATTTGTTTTATTGTAATTAGCGATATCAAAATGATAACTAGTTATCATTTTGATATTAGCTATTTATTGCTTTTATATTGTAACCCAAATAACATAATATAAAGCAGTTTTATATTGATTACTAAAGAAACAATTTACTTGAAGAAACGAAATAGTTCTCATTGATACTTTAATATAATCGTTTTATTAAAGCTATAAAACGCGACTATAAAATACTAAAAACAATTATAAAACAATTTTATTTTATAGGTTTGACTTTTGTATTAGTTTTATTGTGTTGCTCATAGAAACGTTTTTACGATAAATTTATAAAACATTTCATTTTTAACAACAGAATAGAGTTCATCACTTCTCTTATAAAATTAATTTGTATTTTGGAAGTAATAATAAAATAAGAATAAAATAAAACAGTCGCAGTGCGATGAAATTATAAAATTACTTTGCTGGTTGGGTAGTGGTATCTCAATCTAAAAAAACACTTGATGTACATTCGTGGTCCATTGGAAGTTTCTGGGAAACGGAAAAATATATCGATTTGAAATTTTACAAGCGTTTATAATCCGTTAAAATCTATTTTTTTAATATTTTAAACAAAATGCCACTTCCGGTTTGGCCGGAAGTGGTATTTTGTTCAAAAGATTTTAGAAAAATAGGCTAAATTGGATTTTAAACGCTTTAAAAATTTCAAATCGATATATTTTGCTGTTCCCCAAAAACTTGTAAATAATTAAAATAATTTTAAAATGTCCAGTATACCTAGGTAATTGAGTAAATACATTTTACAGCTGTTATACGTATTATCATGGATAACATTTTATTGGATCGCACTTTAAAAAAATGACGTGATCTGAAAAAACGCCGAGACACGGTATCATTTTTTTAAAGTCTATTTTCAAAATCTATAGAAATTTTTCATGGAAGGGATAAAATCAAATTTTGTCGAACTGTGTTATAAATGGTTTAGGTTCTAGACCTAAAATTATAAAGGAAAATAATACATAGCATCGTATACTATCTCAAGTTAAGATTGAAAAATGTTTTTGATTTTTTTTTATAAATTTTTCAGGGTTGGAAAAACCCAACCCATTGGGCTTTTTGGGGTTTATAAGTGGGTTTTATTGTTTTTTTTTAATTCTATACAAATTTTAGTAAAAAAACATTTAAAAAGAAATACTGACGATAAGAAAAATTCTATTATATTCACGACTTCTTTTGGCAGTCGTTCTTCTACTATAAAATGCAAGTAGAATATGGATAGGCATGGGAACCCCCGAACTATAAAATTACGTTTTGTTTGGTCAATGGTTTGAACGTTTGTCAGTTTTAGAGTGTACTGCTTTTGATTAAATACTAGTTACATACATAAAAATGTAATGTTTTATCTTTTTACAAAATAAAAAATATACAAAAATATCGAAGAATTTTTAAATTAAAAACACACTTTTAAAAAACCCTGCGGGCTTTTTTAAGTTGGTTCTACCCAAAAAAACCCACTGGGCAGTCAACCCTGAAATTTTTACCCAAATGGTTTTTTTTCATTTTGTGCTTTTTTAAATGCTTATAATTTTTTTTAACTAATTGGGATGTTTTCTTCAAATTTCAAAATCAAAAACATTGTTCATTCTTTAAATTTTTTGTTTATCTGTTTGCAATTTTTTGTTATATTAACTTTTTTGTCCATAAATTTTATATTTATTTTCTATTTTTTTGCCATTAAACTTTGTTTTTACAATTAAATAAATTTAAATAAATATAAATATATACAGGGTGTTCCATAATTGGCGTGCAATACTTTAACAGCAGCTCGTACAAAAATAGGAAAAAAAGGTTTCCATAAACATAGGTCGAGGAATACTTCCTAAGGGAGCTACAGCTCCCGAAAAAGGAGCCCCTGATGATGGTTTTTATTTAATATCTCCATGTATTAATAACCCCTTGTTACATTGCATCAAAGGTCACCTGTCTTCAATAATTTTTCCTTAACATGGCAGCCATGTTTCATGGCCCAAGCTGAATCTTTTTCTCTAATTGTGATTTCATTATGAATTTTTATGCCATGTAAAGTAATTTAAGCAAAAATTGTATATAAACCTCCAAAATAAAATAATCTTACATCAAATCCTGGAACAAGACACGTTAATAAAAGTTAGGGTGGTTTTACCCTTAATCCCTATCCATCTGACCCGCCCCTGATGGAAAATTTGAAATTGTAATTATTACATCTTATTGGCCATAACAAGTTTGATCAATGTCACGTTTCTATGTTTAACGGTATTGGAGATATTAAATAAAAACCATCTTCAGGGGCTTCTTTTCCGGGGGCCCTTATGAAGCATTTCTCGACCTATGTTTTTCTATAGGATTCCTATAGGATTTTCTTATTTTTGTACGTAGAATATGTTAAAGTATTGCACGTTAATTATGGGACACTAGACTGTCAAAATAACTTTTTTTTGATTAAATATATTAAAAAGTTTCAATATCAAAAAAAATTATCTCAAAGTTTAAGCTCAATATCTCTAAAATTGAGTTGGCGCAAGGGGGGTCCCCTTTCCAATTTAAAATACATTTTTAGTTTTAGAATAACTACATGAGTAATTCATTTTTTTTAAATTTTGTTTCGTACAACCTTATAGGAAATTTAGTTCTCTACAAAATTGTCTCTAATTTTTCTCTAAACTCATCAGAATAAAAGTTACATAGCGCTGAATAGGAGGAAAAAAAATAAAAATCGAATATTACAGTCGATAAAGTTGCTATGTAACTTTGTTTCTGATGAGTTTAGGGAAAAAATGAATAGGGACAATTTTGTAGAGAACTAAATTTCCTATAAGGTAGTGAGAAACAAAATTTAAAAAAAATTATTCATGTAGTTATTCTAAAAACTAAAAAAAAATTATCCCATAGTAGCTTTTTAAAGAGTCGAAAAAAAAAGAAATATTTGGAAAAAACTGTTTTCTTTTTGTTTTCACCCGAGCCTAGAAGAAATTGGCCTTTTTGGGAAAAATTAATTTTTTTTTGGAAAATTAAAAAATACACATTTACCTATTATAGGAGCATTTTTTATGTAATTTAAATATTTAAATAACATAAAAAATGCTCCTATTATTAAAATGTGTATATCATAACTTTTTTTAAACTTTTAAATCCAATTTTTCTAAAAAATAAAATCGTTATATTTTATTCCGATTCGTAATCGTAAATTCTGGTGATTACTTCTATTTATAATATGAAATACAAATTGAGTTATTTCTGTGTTCTGTAGAACAAATCTACATTTGCATAATAAACCTAACCTAAAAGTGATGCTTGAATTATCTCGCACACAATCTATTGTCTCGGCAGTGAAATGACTAATATATGCTTTCTCTGCCTGGTCTATAATGTACTATTACTAAATATTCAAAATTAAAAAATATATATAATACTTTAAAACTTACCTATTCCAATTATTATCATTGCAAATAGAAGCCACCATTTAGAGTTATTCATTTTAAAGCCTAAAATAAATTTAAAAATATAAAAGCACTATGTTTTTAAAAAATACAAAATATATTTTTAAAATAATACCATGTATTATTTTACATACCTACACTATAGTGTATAAAGTCCCAAATATGCGAAACCCTATTAATCGGGTTTAGATAATCGGGACTTTATACACTATATTCTGGTATCCGAATTAATCGAATCGAGAATGGGTCCAAAAAGAGTGTTTTTGGAATATAATAAGAATTTAGATAACATAAAACAAATTGTGTAACAATCTTATGTTTTTACTTAAAAATACCCAATGAATTAATCTTCTAAGGAATTAATAGAAATAGGAGAGTAAATATTATTATTTTCTTTAGGTACCTATGCAAATAAAATAGGAATATTATACCCTTTAATTTTTATACAGGGTAGGCGTTTGAAAAATAAGGAACAGTTGTGTTTTGAGATATTTTTAGAAATTCTAGCAAGTTTATAATATTAATAGTTTTATTTTACTCCTATATTTTACCAAAAACCCCCCTGAATTTTTTTTGCCTACACGCCTGCTTGATATTTGTATGTGAAAGTTATATTACTATACTTATATTGGAATACGATTAACTAATCCACTGGCATATTTTCTTTGAAAACTCGTAAACTGGACTGGAGTCACTGGAGAATTTCAATTTTGATGTTTAAAAACATTATGTTGCCAACACAGCACAGCAGTAAGGGGACATCCATTAATTACGTGAGGCATTTTTCTGATAATTTGGACCCCTCCCTCCCCCTTGGTGAGATGTGGTAGAAACCCCCCCTCTCCCTCACGTGAGATTCTAGCCATTAAACTTTCTTTGCAGACAACATGTTGATAATGATAATCCCAAAAAATAAAAATTGATTACTTTTTTTAATAAATTTGAATTATAATACATATTCTTTAAACCCAAAAGTTGAAGTGAGATTTTTAATGACCCCCCTCCCTTAGCATGAGATTTGGTGAGATTTTTAATGACCCCCCTCCCTTAGCATGAGATTTGGTGAGATTTTGCTAGACCCCTCCCCCCTATTTTTATCTCACGTAATTAATGGATGTCCCCTAAGTGTCGCCATTAAAAGGATATTTATCTATAGATTATAAATTATAATTTGCTGACATTTTTTGCGTTCTATCCTATTTAGAGTGGTTTAACGACTTTTATCTACTCCTACATTGACGAGCTGTGACTTTATGGCGTTTTAGTCACAGGCTGAAGTTAGCAAGAGTGACTTTTGGGCATTTTAGTCACGGGCTGAAGTTAGCTTTATTAGAAATTGCGAAAAAGTGGGGTTAAATTCCTCATAGGTCAAATAATTATGAATTAAAATTGACTTTAAATTCCTAGTAGTATGCAACTGGTTTTATAAACTTCTCTAGACACTCGTTTTTATTAACGCTCGCAAGCTTCGCTCGTGCTACTCTTAAAACTCGTAACTAAAATGGCGTTAATAAAACTTGATACATACAGGGCCGGATTTAGCATGGGGCCAGCGGGGCCACGGCCCCAGGGCCCCACCATTTAGGGGCCCCCACCAATGCAATATGTAGCCTATATATTGTACTGGTGGGGGCCCCTAAATGGTGGAGGAATTGGGGCCGTGGCCCCGCTGGCCCCATGCTAAATCCGGCTCTGGATACATAATATACTATTATCTACTGCCCCATTATGGCGTTTGCATGGGGCCAGCGGGGCCACGGCCCCAATGCCTCCACCATTTAGGGGCCCCCACCAATGCAATATGTAGCCTATATATATATATATTGTATATGTAGCCTATATATATATATATATATATATATATTGTACTGGTGGGGGCCCCTAAATGGTGGAGGCCTTGGGGGCGTGGCCCCGCTGTCCCCATGCTAAATCCGGCTCTGGATACATAATATACTATTATCTACTGCCCCATTATGGCGTTTTAGTCACGGGCTGAAGTTGGCTTTATTAGAAATTGCGAAAAAGTGGGGTTAAATTCCTCAAAGGTCAAATAACTATGAATTAAAATTGACTTTAAATTCCTATTACTGTTCTATTCGTCGTAGATAAAGTTCAGTATGCAACTGGTTTTATAAACTTCTCTAGACACTCGTTTTTATTAACGCTCGCAAGCTTCGCTCGTGCCTTTTAAAACTAGTAATTAAAATGGCGTTAATAAAACTTTATACATACAGGGCCGGATTTAGCATGGGGCCACCGCCCCAGGGCCTCCACCATTTAGGGGCCCCCACCAATGCAATATGTAGCCTACATATTGTACTGGTGGGGGCCCATAAATGGTGGAGGCCCTGGGGCCGTGGCCCCGCTGGCCCCATGCGAAATCCGGCCCTGGATACATAATATACTATTATCTACTGCCCCATTATGGCGTTTTAGTCGCGGGCTGAAGTTGGCTTTATTAGAAATTGAGAAAAAGTGTTCTTATTTCTGTTCGTCGTAGATAAAGTTCAGTATGCAACTGGTTTTATAAACTTCTCTAGACACTCGTTTTTATTAACGCTCGCAAGCTTCGCTCGTGCCTAATAAAACTCGTAACCAAAATGGCGTTAATAAAACTTGATACATACAGGGCCGGATTTAGCATGGGTCCACCGGGGCCACGGCCCCCACCAATGCAATATGTAGGCTACATATTGCATTGGTAGGGGCCCCTAAATATTGGGGGCCCTTGGGCCGTGGCCCCGCTGGGCCCAAGCTAAATCCGGCCCTGGATAAATAATAAACTATTATCTACTGCCCCGTTATGGCGTTTTAGTCACGGGCTGAAGTTGGCTTTATTATAAATTTGAAAAAAGGGAGGTTAAATCCGTTGACAGTTGGCATGTCAAATTTATAACAAATAAAATTGGCTTTAAATTCTTTTTTGTGTTCGTCGTAGATAAGGTATAGTATGCAACTCGTTTTATAAACTTCTCTAGACAATCAATTTTATTAAACACTCGCTCGCAAGGTTAGCTCGTGCCCAATAAAACTCGTAACTAAAATGGCGTTTATGAAACTTAATAATATGCTATTATATATAGGCTGTATAATTAAAATATACAGGCTGTATAATTTAAAAAATCTATTTTTGAAGCTGAGTAATTTGTTAGTAAACTCGAAAACTTTTGAGAGTAAGTTCAACTTACTAAGTTGGCAACAGTTCATATCACAGAAAAAATTATAATATGATGCAGTTTATTACCGTCCATAAATCTCGTGACGCTAAATAGAGTCAAAATTGACAGAATGTGGCGAATTATCGAACTCCCCTACCCCCTTATTTTTTTGTAATAATTTAACTAAAAATTTAAAAAAAAGCAATCTCATTCGACATACTTTGTCACGTAACGTTTTAAAAAACCCTCCCCCTCGTGCGTTGCAAATAGTAACGGTCCTTCAAACCCCCCTACCCTCCCCCAGCGTCAAAAATTTATGTGCGGCTCCTTATGGACAATATTTTTATATAAAGATTTACTCAAGTCAAAATTATTTGTTCACGATATTAAATAAAATATACGCAGGGGCGTAACTAGGCTGGGGCAGCCGGGGCACCGCCCCAGGGCCCCTTAGGTAGGGGCCTCCAAAACGTAAAAAAATTAAATGTCTTACAGCAAAAAATAAAATCCTCAGGCAGCAGAAAAAATCCATTATATTAGTTTGATTAAAATTAAATTTTCTGGTACAATTAGCAGACGGGAGGTGAAAGGGGGAAAACTTTGACCTCAAATAACTCTAGAAGAAATCAATTTATCGAAAAATAATAAGAGACCTTTTTTATAAAATTTTATATAAGAAACTGCAATTATCATTGCCATAAGTTACTTTGATACAGAGGTATAAAATTCCAAACATAAATTAATTTTTTCCCATGTTAATTCAATGGAAAACTAAAATAAAAATAGCGACCTCTTAGAGTTGAGCTGGAACGCCCATATTTGGTGAGGATTTTTTTTATATTAAATAAAAACATTTGAGGGGCGAAAAAAAATTTTTTTTGAAGCACCCTAATGCACATGAACTACTGTAGTTGCCACTTTCAGCCGCACTACCACAGCGCCGAATTAATTTTATCTAGATAAAATTAATTATATAATTTTATCTAGATAAAATTAATGCAATGAATTTTAATGTTACAATTAAAATTTTGACTTTACATAATAAAAATTATAGAATTAATTTTATCTGGATAAAATTAATTATATAATTTTATCTAGATAAAATTAATTATATAATTTTATCTAGATAAAATTAATTCTATAATTTTTATTATGTAAAGTCAAAATTTTAATTGTAACATTAAAATTCATTGCATTAATTTTATGTGTACACAAAATTAATTGTATCATTTTTATTAGAATTAATTTTATGTGTAGGTACGGATAAAATTAATTGTAAAATAAAAATGATTGTCGTGTTATAAATAGGAAATTGAAACTTAAAAAATAATAGAATAAAATAAAATAGTTTAAAAATCTTGTTTACAAAAAAAAATCTTTCAACAATGTTTTTGGTTTCACAATAATTCCAATATAAATTTCACAGTATAAAAATAAAGAACCTCATACGAAATAAAAATGGACCAAATTTAAATGATGCAAATATTAATTCAACTAACAAAATTTTTAAAATATTTTTAAACAGTTTACATATTATTTCGTTAGTTGAATTAATATTTGCATCATTTAAATTTGGTCCATTTTTATGTCGTATGAGGTTCTTTATTTTTATACTGTGAAATTTATATTGGAATTATTGTGAGACCAAAAACATTGTTGAAAGATTTTTTTTTGTAAACAAGATTTTTAAACTATTTTATTTTATTCTATTATTTTTTAAGTTTCAATTTCCTATTTATAACACGACAATCATTTTTATTTTACAATTAATTTTATCCGTACACATAAAATTAATTCTAATAAAAATGATACAATTAATTTTATGTGTACACATAAAATTAATGCAATGAATTTTAATGTTACAATTAAAATTTTGACT